TTATTGTACAAAATGGTGATAGGGATCATTATCCAACAATTTCATAATGTAACGTTTGTGATAATAAAATAATAAGAAACAGCAAATTCGGCTGGAAATGTAAGCAATATTTTAATATCAAATATGGTTTTGTAATTATTTGAATAGAAAATTATAAGGAAACTATAAAGATTTGTGTCGATTAATTACAAATTTAAAGTTTACAAATCACTCTAGGTTTGTTACATCTATGAGATTGTTGAAGGAACCAGAAACGTGTCTAGTATAAGAATATACTGAGGATATGATGTAATTGTCTCTAATAGCTTGTTAAAGTATTACTATTAGAAATTATGTATGTTTTGGATATCATATTCATACATTTTGTCAACAGAACAATTTAATTTATCTGATTTGATTCATAACAAAACATAAAGACATTTCTATTTCTTCATAACTAAAGTATATTTCTAAAATGCATATAGTGAATATGAAATATTTATGTTGAGTTCGACTAATCGGATTAGAGATTTATAATGGTACAAATTACTGTAAACACTAAACAAAGTTCAAAGGAGTGTTCAACATAAAATTTGATTTACAAGTAGATAACCTGTAGTTTCAACATAAATTACTATCTTATCCTGAAATATTGAATCTCCATTTAGCTTTATAATTTTTAATCACATTTTCGTTCATTTTATATGACAAATATTTCTTAAGCAACAAAATGCATTATTTACATTCTTTTCTATTTGAATGTAATCATTCTTTCCAATAACAGAAAAATTTTAACCATTTGAATTTGACAAAATAAAATACAGAATTTATTATATTTTAATTCAGTGTACCAATTGTCTTTAGTTTCATTCAATAGTAAATATTTGATAGCACAAATTTTACAGTTTCATAATTCGAGCGGACAATCAAAACAGACAGTTTACATACACAAAATGGAATGTAATTTGTGGTACAACTAATTATCAATTAATTTAGCAGTAATGAATCGAAAGTATATAACATATGTTCAAAAAAGTATTAATTAATTTACTTAAAAAACAAATATAATATAATAAAAAAGGATGTGTTCAAAGGAATTTTGTTTTATTAATTTTCAATGATGCATTTATCTTAATTATACCATAAATAACATTCCATCTCGTATTTTAAGACCACATCTTTTTTCCTCTTTATATTTTGTTACCGTATGTAAACATAATTTATATTATTATTTTTTGCTTCTCTATACTTCTTATTTTGTTTTTTTTCTCGTAGGGGAGGGGGCATGAGAGCAATTATTTTATTATCAAAGAACGTTCAAACGTTATAACAATTCATTTTGTTTACATAAAAAAAATTCCAATAATTTCTTATTCATTTTCATCTGAGTTATTGATGATATTTTTGGCAGCTATTTCATTCTGCAAACACGTAAGATGTGAAACATGTAAAATATTTTTGTTTTCCGTAGAATTATGTTGAAGGCGTTATACAGGGTAGTTTATATAAAATTTTATGAGCTGTTTTTTAAAAAATTATTGCAGATATCAAAATAATATTTTCTATTTCACTTGGTCGCATTAATATTAATTTATTTAATTTTTGAAACAAAATTAGGCAGGTTTAATATAACGAATATTTTTTGGATTGATTATTAATCTATTCTGTATTTAATTATACGTATTTAATTTTAGATGTTGGGTTATATTTTTTTATATATTTTTAAGGGTCCAAAAAATTAAAAAGATGAAATCCATTCATGTTTTAAAATAAAAAGTATAAAATGTTCTGACTGTAATAATGTATTAGTTATAGGTCTGCAATCATTATTAAAAATTAATAAATATTTAGTATTCACATTATGATATATACATTGTAATGTTAAATAATTTCATGGTTTAATCAGCACAATCAAAAATTTTACAGGCATCCATTACCTATATGCATACCACATGGTCAAATATTTATATCACTTAGTTTAATTTTATGAACCAGGTGAAAAATGTAAAAATAATATTGAGCAAAGTGTTTAAACACTACATTATTAATATTTAAGTTTTTGTTAAATTTCATTTTAAGTTAATAGATAGATATGTCACAAATATTTCCAAAATATAGTGTCACACGGTACACTGTAATCTCTATGTTAGAGGGGCAGTTTAATGTAATTGGAAACAATAAATTCTACAAATGTATAAAATATTGAAAGAACTGTATCAAGGATCATATTTATTTTAAATGAAATGAATTCTACACGTATTTTTCGGAAAATAAAATAACAACACAAATCATAATCTAACGATAGGTGTATTACAGTCACAACTATAATGTTGCATATACTTTTGACCACTAACATAAGTAACAAATGGTTATGACCATAATGACAAAGTTTGGTTGAATTACACTGACTGTTATTCATATTTTGATTGTAATATAAGTCCATAGCTGTAATTGTTTTATTTTCACTCTAAATTCTTTTTTACAACATATACATATATATATTTTACAAAATACGTGTTTGATATTCTATTGGTTTTGCAAAAAGCAGCTTATAATGCTTTATACTACTTTGTAAAACGTTTAAGTGAAATATAAAAAACTGGCTATAAATTTTACTGTAATTTTTTCCCTATTTGCAGATGGAAGTGTTGCAATAGAGTATAGTTCGTAGAGAAAAAAGACAGAAAAAAGAGAATAAAGAAATGAAAGAAGATTCTTTACAGAAATTCTTCAAAAGCTATAACTTTTGATACGTCCTGTGCATATTCTAAGAAACATATGAATACATCTTCCATTTACATAATTGCATAGCAACAGACATACATAGAAACTAAATTATACGTTCACAATATACACAGTTTGTTTTCCAATATTTGTACACTTTTCTTGTAAATGATAACTGCTTTTGTACATATTAAAATTTGCTCAGTTATTTGTAAGACCAAATATATTCTAAGATGGAAAAAATTAGTTCATCAGCCAAAATAATTAACCTCCTTATAAACAACTATACCATTCTTTGAGATCAGTTTAATTCCCTGAACTTTGATAACTTTTGCATTAATAATTACTTTTCTCCGAGAAAGCTAAATTGACACAATTTAAATCCACATAAGAAATCGTTTCATAAAGTACTTCATTTTTATTGGGCACATTTAAACGTACCGCCAAAATTAACAAATAAAAGAATGCCACGTACAAATCACATTTGTTTTTATTCTATTACAGAAATTGATTTAATTATGATTTCCATGATTTAATTCTCAATTATAAAATTATAAAAATTAGTTGAGTTCTTCTCTTGATATTTACACGTATTGTATTTCTCGTACAATACATAACGAGTTTGCGACATTAAAAGAGTACTCTACCTCGTACAATGATTGATAATTTGATTATTTTTATTTTGATAACGTAAACAATTTTTTAATATATCTTTAATAATGGTAATACGAGGAAGTGATGCTATGACTAAAAGTGGGGTGATAGATTCGTAAACGTGAATAAATACTTTCATTCACTCAGGAATTAAATAGTAGTCGTTATAGTTATCTATTTAGCAAAATGTGTCTTTTGATACGAATATTTTTAACTCATTTATTACTTGCATACTTTGTGATTGGTGGCCCAGAGGAAGAACAAGGTGTTATATATGCAAATAAATGCGAAGGTAACTTTATTCACTTTATAAAAATAATTCTATAACCTTTTCTTTGCACAGCGACGAATACTGCTACTTTACTTTACAGTTTGCAAAGTTGTTGCCACGGAATTGGAGGCCAGATTAGCAGAAACTGGAAAAACACACGATGTACTTGAAATTGGTTACTCCGTTGATGACGTTTTGCCTAAGAAAAAGAAGGAATATAAACAATCGTACGTCATTCATATACTTTTCGAAAATTATAAATTACAATAAGTAATGTTACAAAAACTTTATATGAATGTTTAATTGCAGAGAATTACGTTTGGTAGAAAGCATAGAGGATCTTTGTGAACGAATTTTGGATTATAATATTCATAAGGAACGTTCAGATAGTACAAGATTTGCTAAAGGAATGAGTCAAACGTTTAAAGCGCTTCATGAACTTGTGTAAGATATTTTGACATTGTAAATATTTACCTCTTATAGCTAGGAAAAGTGCTACTATTATATGTTATTTCTAGGAATAAAGGTGTCAATGTTGAATTAGGAATTCCATACGAATTATGGGATAAACCATCTGTAGAAATAACAACTTTGAAAACTCAATGTGAAAATTTATTGGAAACTTATGAATCTGACATAGAAGATTGGTATCATAATTATCAAGGACAAGTATCTTTACGCAGGTATTACTAATATCTTTAGAAATAGAAAGTTATTAACTTTAAATCAGTTATATAATATTTTTTTCTTCCTTAGATATTTATGCTCAGAAAGAGCATTAAAGGGTGAAGATGATTCCTGTCTAAAAGAGAAAGGTGACTATGGTAAAGATATAAAAGGAAAGAGAAAGAAAAAGAACAATGAAAAGAACAATGAAAACAGCAAAGAAAAAGAAAGAAAAGGAAGGAATGAATTATGAATCATTGATCAATTTTTATAACCTTTTTTTGGAACTATAATAGCAAATTATGACATCTTTTCTACAAGTTTAATTGTATTTTTTGTCTAGTCTATGAACATTAAAAATGATGCCAACTACCTGCCATAATTGATGTGCTGGTTTTTAATAAATAATTTTGCATTAAAATAAAAATGACATATTTCTAATATGGCTTGTCTTATACTTCATTCTAATAAGAATAACTTGAAGGCTGCTGTATAGTAACAAGAAATTACATAAATATACGTTTACATTAAATATGTCAATATTTATTTTATCTATTTATTTTTGGAATAAATTGTATACTCACTTATATATTGAAAATGACACAACTATATCCATTCCTTATGATGATCATCATAAAAATTATACAAATATATTAAAAGAATCAAGAATCAATAACATTAACAGATACAATGAAATTGGTAAAAATTTTCATGATCAACTTGGAAGAAATATAAAACACGAACAACTCATAAATCTGAATAGATACTCATTACATAACAATAAGAAATTTGATACAACTACAGTGAAACTTAATGATGACTCAACAAAACTTAATAGTTTCGAATTTTTATTACCATTTAATTTTGAAGATTTAATAACTTACTGCTCCAGCATTAAAAATGTATATTTCCTAACTTATATTTTATTATTTCTTTGGTATTATTATTTATATGAAACACATTATTTCTAATTGTATACATGTATTACGTGTATTATATATTACATAAAATACATAAAATAGTATAATGAATATTGTTTAAGCATATTCACATAATATATTCATCTATTTTCTCAACTTTGGTGGAACCCACTTCTTTTTCCCACGCAATTCTCTTAAACGTTCATATTCCTCTTTAAAATCTTCATGCTCGTCTCTAAATAAACCATAAAGTCTGAGGTGTTTCATTAACTCGTAAGTTTCCTGATGCCGTGGATAATAATTAACATATTCAGGATCTTTATACGGTGGCAGCTCGCTAAACAATGTTACAACCTTCATAGATTTTTTATTAGTATCCCTGGTTACTTCACCGAAAATTCGGTTACTCAGACGATTCATGTTCTTAGCATAAGCAGTACCCACTTTTGCAAGTTCCACATATTTATTCTTCATTATGAAATAATGTGTTTAATTATCAGACATTCCTATGCAAACAGAAAGTACAGGTTATGTGCATTTAAAAGTACTGTTAGATTTCATCTTCAAGGTGCAATTATTAATAATATTTTTTACCAAGTAAACGTATACTGCGTCTCGTACAATCGTTCTCTAACCAAAGATCGAAATGAGAACTTCGAGTTTATAAAATTATATTCTTCCAAGCGTAAACAAAGTACACGGAATAAATTGAATGCTTAATACCACAGCAAAGTATAGAATAACATTGCAAACTATGGGACTCGGTGTCACATGTTCTGAATTACCAACTGTATAGGAAGTAACATGTTTTGCTCTGCCCTCTACGCCCAGAGAACGGTCAATACGAAAACTACAATTTGAAGTTAATATATGTACATTCTTATTTAAACTATAATATTCCTAATAAAATTTTTAAACATTCAGAACTGAAATATAGAAACACACTTTTAGGTATTATTTTGAATTTAGATATAATGATTTTGTTTTCTATTAATTTAAAAGTTTTTTTTTAATTTCAAATTACATAAAACAAATTAATAATAATTTTATATGTACAATAACTGTTGCTATTATCAAATATTATTTTTATTAAGTAATTCTATAGCAATACTGTTTCGTTTTATAATGCAAAATAAGATCTTGTTCTCTCTGACTATAATTGCTATATTTAATTGTGTAAAATCTAATGATATTTTTTATATATTATACAGAATTATTTAAATTCAATATTTCATGCTCAATTGCATATACGGAACATTATATTGAAAAACGGTGACTGTAAGTCGCCTCTCGAGTGCAAAGAGTTTTGACGAATCTAAGGCATCTAATTTATTTATCGATTAATTTGGTTACTTTTATTAGTTATTTATCAGTTGTATCAATTGATTTCTCATGGGATAAATGTAACTAATAGAAGTGGAGATATCGAGGAATTATTAAAGCAAGAATGTATTTCAAAGGATTTTTCTATTAATACGTTGAATGTCATGGGGGTCACCGGTGATCCCCAACCAAATCGAATTATAGTTCATTCATCGAATTGCTATAGTTAAACGACGATTATTTGAAAACATCTGTATATTACAAACAATGCTACTTAAGTTAACTGTGAAATTTGGTTGGAAAGACCTCTGGTTCTGCGCGCAATAAAATAAAATGGTGCGTGCACTCATTGAACGCTGAACGAATGCATAGAGTATATTTTAATGAAGGATCAAAGCGAAACAAAGAATTACATGTTTATGTGAACAAATAAAGAATTCATGGAAGAATTAGTATAGATTCAACAAATAAATATATTACTCAGTTCATTCGAATTCAAAGTAAATATTATTCCTCTGTAATCAACTATTATACTTAAAAGGAAATATAGGCGTAACATACGCTTAGAATTTTTCTCTTTTTCCAATAAATTATTAATGACAAAGTTCAAAGTTATCGATCAGAGTTGAGAAAGAAATCATATAATCAAGGGGTTAATGCGTTGACATTCAGCAAGATTGAATATTATATATTTTCCATTTTGTATATTTTTCTCTATGAAATCGCGCGGCGTTCAACGCATTTCATTTCACCGTAACAATGGCGACTTCGCGAGATATCATTGGACACTCTCTCAGCTGTTTACCTGCGGGGTATCGTCTCAGGGAAATGCAATTACGACATCGTTTTACAACATACTATCTATTTATTATTTACAACAACGTATCAATGTTACACAAAATGTACCACATCGTGTTTTTATTTAAATCACTTATCACACAATTTACAAAACGTCGCTCACTCGCTCGCCGTAAATTCAGCTCGTTTAAATGGACAGCATTTAGAACTCGTTCTCAACGTTTCGCTAGATTTCCCGGTTTCCCAAATAGCAGAAGATTAGACGAGGGGGAAACTCGAAGAAACACGAGAGCGTTCGTGCGAAATGAATTTTATATTCTCGCGTTTTGTATCCTCTACATTTTAGAGATCCGTTTTCAACGGTTCGCGGCTACGCGGCGTGCAGCATCCAGAAATTCCAACGCTTCTATTAGAAATTATAATTTCACGGTAACTTTCTGACGATTCGCGTCGACTCCGCGACCTTCTCCAACGTTCGCGTTACGGATCGTAATTTTCTTTTGATTTTTAAAGCAGCGAATTCAAAAAGAAGATCCTGCATCGCCGAACTATGGACGTTCGCGTAAAATCGGACCTCGAGTCAACATTTCAGCCGCAAACGGCCAAACCGACTAACTCCACAGAACGGAAAGCAGAGGAAAAATGACGTAACAGTGCACACTTCTCAAATTTCCTTTTAAACGGAAAATTAAATAAACATCGTAGAATGTATTTTATTTTATTATTACAGGTATAGCCTTAATCTAACAACCATGTAAAACGCATAAAGTAGTATATTCTCGCAATTTTTTCCATTATTGTAATTTGACCAAAAGAATGTATTTACGTGGAGAAATTTATTTCAACTAGAAAAAATTCGGCATCAATCGAGCAAAGAACAATGGAGTTAACCGGTTTGGCCAATGAGCGGTTCATTTGTTTCCCGTGCCAATTGCTTTCGAACTGTAAATCAAATCTACAAATAAGATCCTTATTAACGATCGAGCTTCGTAACCTTGCTACGTTACATTGTGCATCGTTGGAAATTACAAACGCATAAATGTCCGCGATCAATTTATCGCATTCGTAATTCCTGATCGCGCGCGCAACTTAAACGTCCGACGCAAGTACACCTATCATCGCGTAAAATGAAGCCGAGTCTCGGTGAAACAGTCGCTATAAAACCTTTAAAATTGTCACGAGTCCGACGTGCACCGCTCGGGAACACGAGAAATTCGTGCGGTCAACAGTTTCTAAGAGGGACGATAAACTCTTTCGAATAAAACTCTAAAAGATCGGCGTGCGACCGTAACGAATGGACGCTCGGGCTTCCCCTTGTTGGCCACTAAAATCTCGCCTGCGAGAAAGAAACGTGTGTAATATTGTAACCCGAATGCAAAGAACCTACTTACACGCGGATCTTCGATCCACGATCCGATCCGCGACTCAACAATCTCGCGACGATGCGGAGTGCCTTTCGCCTATCTGCCAACACTTCCCGGTCACTTCTTCGATTGTATCGATTTAAACGAAATTCTCCACCGAAGATTGAATCCAGACATGTACCCCAATCACCTACTATCGAATCTCCAGTTTCCACAATCTAAATAAACGAGCATCGATTCTTTTAGGAATAATAGAACGAAGTGTACAATAAATGCCCGTAAACCCAGTGTTAATAACTCTTCGAGTGTTGTTTTATTTATCTTTAAACGATCGTAGAGTGGATATATTCTCGATCAGTGGCCGGAAACTGTTGCACGCTATTACACCCGACGAGAATAGAACTAAATTCAACCGACTCACGATCGACAGCCGTAAAGATGGACGGATGGCTGCCATTTTACCGGATGGTTCACTTCCCGTTCCTCCTTCGTTACGTTAAGAACGAGTCTGGACGATTTCTCTTCGGATCTGAATTCGAACCCTGCCTCGCCATAGTTTTGATTGCGCTCTACCAACCGAGAACGCTACGCGCGAAAAGATCACGATTTATATTACAAACTATCGAGCACCTGTTGTTCTTACCTCGAGTACTCAAGCGTTTACCCGATATACATCGTTACAGTACCCCTTTCCCGTCGAACTACAGGGACAGCTAACAATTTAACCGCGAGATCGAGAATGTCCAGTTAAGAACTTCCCGAACGAGGTTTCCGTCTTTTTACGAAATTTAAGCCAGGAACGTAAAGAATAGAATTTAGGCATTCTCTGAATGTAATCGTTGTTATTTGCAAGTAAATGGATTAATATATGAAGTTTAACCCTTTGCGGACGAAGATCCGTTGAATTACAGGAAACGTTTAGCAGATGAAGCTAAATTATACATCGATTGCTCAGATAATTGAAAAGAAACTACGTACTTCTTGCTATTCGAGTAATTAAAAATTTGTGACTTAGCATTCCAAATATGAAAATTTCATCCGAAATAACGACACTCGTCCGCAGAGGGTTGAACCTTAATTCCTTCGTGGAATTTCGTTATTAGTATATTCATATTGTCATTAATCGTATGAAACTTCTTCGTATCGGTGTACGTTATCGAAACGAACGAAACAGGGCGTACAGAGATATTTTCCAAAATTGTTAACAATGAAAATACGATTCTGCTCGACAATTTTGCTGGAAGAACAACAAATATCGACCTTCCCTCGATACGCTTTTCCCTTTGAACACGCATGCGACATCGTCGACAACCTGTAGTCGGCCAGTGTATGCATTAAGTTACACATAAATATTATCTATTCATATATACGAATGTATACACATAATCTGCACACGTATCTCCCACCTGTGCATTGGACAAGAGCGCCTCCGTGTACAGGGCGTCCCGGAAGGTCTGCGACACCGCGGCCCGAGGACGCGGTTGAGCTCGAGATAATTATTCTATTGTGGGCGAGAGTTCGTATTTGTTTACTTACAACCTATTCACACGTACGCGCTATACAATATCGATCTACGTTTTACGGATCGGCGATCCGTGCGTCGCGAACACCCTGTACATCGCTGCTGTTAACACATCGCGTATCGGTTAATTTTCAGAAAATTGAATTGTGATGGCAATTTTCGCTGAGGTCAACTTATATCAATGTACATAGAGAAACTCAGATGTCATATTGTTGTGTAATATGTTTTAAATAGATAATCGATTCGAATTAAATTATATATTTTATAATAGATTCCTTGACACATTGCGTGCCGGATAATTTTCAGAAAACTGAATTGTGACGGCAATTTTCGCTGAGGTCAACTTATATCAATGTACATAGAGAAACTCAGATGTCATATTGTTATGTAATATGTTTTAAATAGATAATCGATTCGAATTAAATTTTATATTTCTTCAATGCTGTAATTAGCGAAGTTTCATAGCTAAGTGTCTTATAAAAACGAGATTTCTCGTTACCGGTACGCAATGCAACATTCCACTTAAATAGGAAACACTGAAAAGTATTTTAAAACTAGATCAGAAAATAGAAAAGACAGTTTGAATTTTTTTCCATGAAAATTGTGTCTAGCATTATAAAACAGGAGAAAAATTCTTTTATCATTTTATCCGGTTGGTAAATCGAGGTAAATAGATTGCTAAGTGGAGTTTCTGATAGAAACTTAACCCTTTGCACTCGAAAGTTTTCCACTAGAAATATTCAATATTCTTCGATGAGATACAGACCATGTTCTTTGAAACTAATTAACGAGGAAACGTATATAAATTAAGGAGGAAAGTTATTTTATTTCAATATTCCATATATCGATGCATCATACAAAACTTAACTCTTTACACTCGAAAGTTTTTCACTAGAAATATTCTCACATTTTCTGATCAGATAAAATCGACATTTTGTGAAACTAAGTCGACTATTTCTCAAAATGATGCATTATAGGAAATATAATATTGAATATCAAATTTTATAGTTTTACTGTATGAAATCAAGTGGTGAGCGAGAGTCACCTCTCGAGTGCAAATGGTTAATATTATATATAAGACTTTAAAATTCTGCAAATCAAATCAAGTGGTGAGTGAGAGTCACCTTTCGAGTGCAAAGGGTTGATACTAGATACTTCTTCCTCATCGACAGCAGCGAGAATACTCGTCCCGATCGCGACGCACGGCTCACCCGGTATATCAGTTATAGAAAACGACACGCCACTTTGTGGAACGTTTCATCGTCGGACGTTTTTCTATGCTTAACACACTATTTTGCCATCCTCGGCTTGCGATGTCGCACACCCGCGTCCGCCCTCTCTATAGGTACATCGGTAAAGGGTGTCCAAGAAGTACGCAGCGTTGAATGGGGCCACGTGTTCCCTGAACAGCCTGTACGCCTTACAACAAACGTAGCTCGTTAACATACAATAAATCGTATCTTTGTTTGGCACATTTCGTCAACCACAGGATCCGTACAATATACCTGTCTAGGTATTAATACACACACGCCGAGTATACGCGTGTGTATGTATAAATATACATAATATACTATATGATATAATATATATATGTATATACCAACTCGCTTTAGTCTCTAATAGTCATAGAATACGTACAAATGTTTCATCCGTGTAACGACAGTGTGTTGTGTACTTTTCCTCGCGTATACAGGGTGTCCCAACAATTCTTGGTACAAGCTGCCGCATTTATCAAGATCAATTAAATGAAGATTTCCCTTCGACACCTTCAGCCGTCGTGAAAACGAAGCTTAACGAGAAACAATTCCGTTCTATGGTTTCGTTCGGTTTCGTCTCGTTCTCGTTGCAACAGTGCCGGATCACTCTGTATACATTTGTCTACAGAGTGTCCGAGAAGTTCCTACAAACTTCGCTAATAGATTCGCGAATAAAAACAGACTGAAGAAAGTCACCTAACGAACGGACATAACCCTTTGGGTGCTGAATAATTCTAGCCAAAACGTTCCGCGTGGACGGAATATTTTGCTGTTCATCTGAGAATTGGTAAATCATGTTGATTCGTGTAATTAAGTAAGTTGTAACTAAATTGTTACCGTGATTCCTTAGTTTCATGAAATTCAATGGTGCCAAGAAACGTACGCTTATAATTGTCGCCATAACACCTGTGAAATTAAAAAGGGAGGACGCACATATACGCCCACAGCACTCAAAGGGTTAAAATTGAAATTTTCGCGAACACCGCAGCGACGTTCGTTTTTATACTTTCAACTTACTTACGGGACAAAGTGACTTTGTCAACATACTCATTCTCAGCCAAGGATCGCGAATATAATTCGGAAGCGATGCAAAACATATCAGGCACTCTATACATATGTAACGTACAGGGTGGTTCGTGAGAAAGCTTGCCAGGCTTCGAATGTTTCTTCGACAAGAAATAAGAGAAATCAGCGAGAAATATTTTTATACAATTTTTCCGGAGGATCTCCTGTGGATAATTTTTGTAAAAAATATAGAATCACTATCGGTACTTCGTTCGCTCACTTTTCGTGATCACCCTGCACATTCGCGTTAATCGTTACTTACTTTCTGTGTTACTCCGTGAAGTGCGTTATCGATCCTATCTACCTCTAAAAAATTATAAGAGGAACGCAACAATCTGTTATCGTTAATATGTATATATACATATATCTATTCGTGTATGTATATATATATATATACATATGTATATATATATTCTGTGTCATTAAAACGTCACGCGCTTTGCCGAACAGGGAATAGGCTTGGCAAGCGTGGGAGTTGCACTCTCGTGAGCCTCGGGTATCCGTCACGATCGTCCCTTTGATCCATCGATCCATGCTTTCCGGTCGCTTCGGGACAGATTTCGTCGAATCGGAGAAATGTTCGAGGGTTTCGTAGCTTCCCGTGTCGGATTAACGAACACGAGGACGATCGGAATCGTCGGTCGGGGGATGTAGAGGAAATCGCGAGAGGTTCATCGGACAGATCATCGGTCGTCGGTAATTATAGTCTTCGGCAGAGATGGGCACTTGGTTATCTTTACAAATGATTTCCAATATAGTGATATAAGTAATAATATAAGTAATCGAATATAGTAAATAGAACGTTGATTTTGTTATGGTCAGTTATAAATGGAATTATTTAATACAAGTTTGTTTCTAATAAAAGTAATTCATTGTAAATATCAGTTTATTTATTATAAATGAAAGATAAGGTATCGAGTTAGAATTGCAAGCTGACGCTTTGACAGCCTTTATTGTTAGTACTATGCATTTACCATTTTTCTGAATTTTGTACGTCTACTTTTGTCTAATTAACTAGAACTACCGAGCATTTAATACGATTAATATGCGATTCCTATAAAAATTGTAACAATAGATTATTTTCAGTTTCTTCAGACATTCATTATAGTACTGAAATGAAACTATTTTCAAAATCATTTCGAATATTCAATGCTTCGAAGATAATAATTGCTAATCAGAAAAATCGAAACCACTAATTCTAGTGTTAATGAAATTTCAGCAGAGAATAATTCTTCGCGATAGAATTCGATAAATATATGTTTAAGACTGAAAATACAGTGACTTCTTGTATTTCTAATCTCCGAGATATCAATCAAAAGAGGAAAAATTATTAAAACAAGAGTAAAATAAGACGAGTACATAAATCGAGCACCGTAGATCATAATTCTACGAGTGCATCGAACGAAACCGTGCCCAACTCCGGTCTCTGGTCTGCGTTTCAAGGGAGCAGGATCGTTTCAATGGTCGGACACATACGAAACAGCCTTCAAGGACCAGATCGCCGTCAGTCGCGTATCGTCGAAAGCGCAACTCCGTGGACCCATTCAGAAAATCCGGCCCGTAGTCGGAATTTTATTATTCACGTTTTTTTTTTCATTAATAATATCTTTGATAGGATTTCTTTTATCTTTTTTTTTGCATTTTTACTTCGTTTAAATAAATATATCCACGAACAAGGCACTGCTCGACAGAGAGGAGTCACGTCGTTGATGGATGTTGACCTGCGCGAGGGATCTTCAACGACTAACATCGTGAACATCGTTTTTTCGGAGTGGCCATCGAGCTTCTTCGAGCCGTTTCCTATCGCGAAACGTCGGTTAAAAAGTGGTCGGGATACGTTTTTTAGAATATACCTTGCGGGTTGTATCGATTCGAAGCACGATCGAACGGTTCCCTCTCGTTCGGGGACGCAGTAACGATCGTTCGCAGGGAAGATGTTCCGTTTCTCGAGCTGGAGGAGGTTCGAATCGCTTAAACGCTGTTTAAAATCGTTCGATTCCTTCGAACAGCACCGAATTCTCCGTTGCGTACGGTTCCCGTCTCCAAGATCGCACGGAGGAGACTAAATTCATTGATTGTTCATCGGTACACGCGAGAAAAGCGACGGTTCGTGGTTGTTCGACAGCGCCGCGTTCCTTCTCTTTCTCTGCGGATGATGTTGCGGTGAAAATTTCGCTGTGAATGGAAAGTTGGAGGGTCTATTCGGTTGAGGGAGCGTGCACGATGATCCCCAAGAGCGAGCTGCAAATGTTAATTGCCGTTTTCGCTCTGATAGAAGCTGAGGGCGGAGGTAAACGCGCGTCCGGACGACACCGTATCGACATCTCGATCGCGCGAACGCGTATCGTTGCGTGCTTCTCAGAATATTTTCCAATTTTTCAAGTGTAAAATTCTTCCGTTTCGAATAGAATCCCGTCAGTTTTGGTGTAATCGTCGAATTACGAAGAATTGAACTACCGCGATAGAATCTTGAAAGAAAAACGCTTTCGAAAGAGTAGTAAGACTGCGTCTTTCACAGTAAACTGATTAATAACAATATTATAAATATCTCGATTAACGATATTAACAATATTCCAAATATTCTAACAGACATCATAAACATGTCAATGAACTTTCAGACTTCTCTTCACGAGTGGAAGCTGATTAGAATTCTAGAAGCTCCAACAAATATAAAATTCAATGCAACATTCAACGATCAAATTATCTTGGACTGTACGAACAATGATCCCTCATTAAATTATTCACGAAACAGACACCTAAACTCAAGTTCCTTTAAAAATTCTTCAATGAATTAACAATAGCAAAGGAACCAAGAGAAAATCCCGCGTGAAACTTCGCCCGCAACCGTCTGCCCAGACTTCTCCCGGAGCAAAGTCGGGCAAGCGCCGTCACAGAGAGTGTTTCGCCCACCGGCAGGTCGGCATGCGTTATAAAGGGAAGCACTTGGTCCGTTTCTGTGCAACGGCTGATCGGCAGTCGACCTTCGAACCTAGGGTGAAACTCTCCGGTTTGACGGTCTCCTCGACGGAGATCTTGCCGAGTCGCTTTTTCATTCGGAAAGGCGTCGATCTCGGGGATATGATCTCGTACAGGTCGCTCGTCCTCCCTTGCACTTGAACCCTGCTCTTCGGGCTGTTCGCCTTCTGATCGATCGGGATCGCGATGTCGACTTCCGCGTAATGATT